CGCGCGTCGCCGGCGCCGCGCGTCGCCAGGCGGCGCTGGCGCTCGCGCGATGATTCGCCCGATTCGCGGTGTCAGTCTCGCGGAAGCGGAGGTCAGGTTGGCAAGTCGTTCGCGCTGGTCACAATCTCGTCCGGGGAAAATGACGTGCGTCCCGTGCATCCGCGCCTCGTGATAACCCGCGCGTGCATCAACCGATCTCCCCAGCCAGCAACGGATTCCCAGCAGGCGGCAACAGCAGCAACGCTCCCCGCGGTAGACTCAGCTTCGGCACGTTTCTCCACCTTTTTTCCTCCCTTCGTCGCTTGCGCGCCCGCGCGCGCGCGCCTGAGTGTAAGAGAGAGAGAAAGAGGGACAGGACGGGTTTGCGCCGAGTTACTCCGAGTTACTCCGACGACAGTGAAACGTGAAGTTCGTCGGAAGTTTCGTCGTGGATAAGCACGCGCGCCGCCGCCACCGCCGCCGCCACCGCCACCGCCGCCGCCGTCGCCGCTCGTCGCTCCGCGCGGCTAACCTAAATATCCGGCGGCCGTAACACAATTTTCTCTCTCTCTTTCTCTCTTTTTTCCCTTCCTCTCCTTCGTCTCCTCTCTCTCTCCGTCCTTCTCGCCGCCCGCTGACACGTCGGCGTCATCAACGGGCAAGTCGTGCCCGTCAACGCGACGTCAACGCGACGTCAACGCGCCGCGAGTCGCACGGAAGAACCTCGGCGAGGAATACCGTATAGCAGGCCGTCCGCGAGTGCATGTCGGCGCGCGGACACGTCGCGCACCGAACAGTGAGTCAAAACCGCGGTGGTGTGCGCGCCGCGCTTCTTCCGCCGTCCTCGTTCCCGTTCCCGTCGCCGTCGGCCCGTCCTCGTCGCCGTCGCCGTCGTCACGCGGACCCACCGTCGCGTTTCGTAATTTTGCACGGAGGCGGAGCACCGTGGGACAGTCCCCTGCGTCTCGACGACACCTTCGGTAGTTGAAGTTTATTTTATTCTTCTCTCTGTCTCTCTTTCTCTCTCTCCCTCTCTTTCTCGCTCTGTCTCTGTCTCTCTTTTCTCTCTCTCTCTCTCGCTTCTTCCACCGCGTCCGTTTCCACAGCACTTACGTGGTACGCGTGGATGAATTTCTTACGTGGCGAGCTCTCAGTGGATTTCCCAATCCGCAAAGTTTAGCTAGTCTCTAGTGATTTTTTTGTCAGGACACGTCGCGCGGTGTCAAAGCCCCTTCTTCTTCCTCCCGCGCTCCGTTTAGCTGACAGTGTATAAATGTGGCTGGGAGTATGTTCTAGAGAGAGATATGTATCGCGAGGAATATCGGCTGGCGAATTAATTTTCCACCTCTCTGATCGAGGATTTTATATAAGTTGAGAGAGAGAAGTGCGATCTCGATGTTTCATGCTAAATGTAATTTATCTGAACTTGTGTGTGCACGTGTCTTATCAGGATTATATTTGCATAAATTGTGGGAAAGATATTGAAATCTATGCGAGAGTGACTTATAAATTTTGTTATTTGTGAAGAGCATAACGTTTGAGAGGTATCTAGGTAATTAAAAACGTGAATTCTTTGTGACTTGTGGAACAATGTTTTTAAAATGTAGAGATAACTTCAACCTTGCACAATTCAACTCTTTGTACGTGTTTAAGGCCGTCATATTTCATCATTAACAATGTACAGTAAATAATACGAGTAATTGCTAATAGATAAGAAAATTTAATACAGATCTTGTTTAAAAAGAAATAATGTTTTAATTCTGTGGATATTCTAAAAGGAAAGATTTGTTTTCTTCAATTTTTTTGTCTCGCGACTTTGCAAGCGGACGACAATCCTGTATGCTTGAAACATTTGGCAGCCTTGAATACAGTACGAATTGAGTATAGCGTTTAGAATAGTTCCGTTGACAGCATTCATTAGTTTAATCAGTTTTTCAACCGTTTCATTCAGAATGAATGAGCTTCTCATTAAAGCTCGTATAATTCGTGCTATTTTTTTTACTCCGTTGAAAGTTTATTTACATTGGAAGCAATTCTTTAACCGTGTATCCCGCTCTGTTAGTCTCTGTATTATTTTCAATAGGCATGCCCGAACATTTTGTCTAACAAACAATACTTTACTTTCAGAAATTGTTGGTGTGAATGAACGTACACGATCGCTGAGAGGATAACATTGGTGAAGCATCTACGAAGCAGTAACCATGGAGGACGGCCATTGTAAAACTGTGGAAGAAGTGGTAAATTACTTCAACGTCGATCCTGACCAGGGATTGAGTCCCGATCAAGTCAAGAGGAACCAGGAGAAGTATGGTCTCAACGGTAAGTAATTCGTTTTCTTTTTTTTTTTTTTTTTACACATTAGGCGTTCTCGATAGATTCGTGGATTATTATTCGTTCGCGTGTCTGTCAATTCGAGCAATTTGCTTGTGTCCAAGAAGCACATTCTCTTAATGTCATATAAATTGACGTTGCCTGTGAAATATTCATGATCCGCGTTTGAGTTAGCTCGATTAATAAAATAAAATCGAGTTAGTGAAAGGAGAAACCGTATATTTTCATTATTTACTCCAGCTTGTGGGTGGGATCAAACTCTTTAATATGCAATCGCACGTGGACTGTACAATGACGTTTTAGAATATTGTCGCCGTTCCAAGTCGTTTCCTTTCAAGTTTCCTTATCAGCGCTGAGACGGCTGTATATATGTTCTTTTGGATTTAATCACCCTGCAATTAAATTCTAAATCAACTTTCCGCCACTAAGCGCACTTAAAACCTACACAAACGTAAGGCTTTTATTGTCAATTAGCAACACGGTTCTCCAATCGCGCTCGTGTTTAATCAAGAAGGAGAAATCTACTATACAGATCGCTCCGAGGAAGGGAGGGGAAAAGGCGCGACGGTGGTCGCGGGGGCTGCCCTGTTAGATATTTGCGCATTATTGCGCGTAACACGCGCGGCCACGGAAGCGCGATATCATCGTGGCGCTCGCGGAAATAACGCGCGTTTATTCGCCGCGGTGCGAGAAGCACCGGATAAAAGTGTGCCCTTATCAGCCTGATACGTCGTCGTGCGTGCCACGCGTGTTGCTTGTCCCCACCATCGGCGCACCGGGGTTACCACCGCCAGCTAACCGTATCCATCGCCTCCTCATGCACGTGTTCGCAACCGTAGTTTTCTCGCAATAATGATTACGCATGTGTCGTTTGCTTCCGATAGGATGGTCTTCGTCTCCGCCGTTTCGCCGTTCGTACACCTGAAAAACGTTACCGTGATGTGCGCAGAGTATCTTTTTCCGTCCAACGCGTAATCTATATAATATATAAAAACTCGAAATGAGAAATTAGTGCTTGCTCGTCACCTTTGATCTATGTCCCAGGTAGTAATTTATTATCGTTAAAATGTCTCCTGTGTTATAGCCACGTGTTTGCCAGGGGATTATTTGCATCTATATTTCGCGAGATTAAATCACCATTTACCAGAACCGCCGTGCAGTTATTTGCATGTGGATCTAGTTTCCACGTATCACTTTATTTCGAAGAGACTGCGCTTATGACGTATGTATCTGTCGATGGTTTACAATAACGTAATTGGGTAAATCATCGACGTTCCAATTTCCGTCATCGACAAACCGCTTGATTGAATCGCCATCGCACACGTATGTATTTCGGGAGACACCTGGAATTATTCTGACGTCGAAGATTCAATCGCGCTTGAGAAATAATTTCTTGCGATAGCATCGGAACTTAATCTTCCTCGATAACGCGCGATTAATTAACACGTCAATGAGTCATGACAAGTATCCTATATTGTGATAAGAAACTTGTTGTTTTGAAAAACTTTTTGTTATACATATATCATTTTCACTATATCTAAAAATTATAAAAAAAATTATAAAACTTGAGAACTGCATTAAATATTCAAATAAATTGCTATATATTCTTTCCTTTTCTTTCTTTCTATTCAACATATGTATGTAATAAATAACTTGAAAATAAAAACAGAGCAAAGGTTGCAAAATTTTATAGAAACTGCCTTATAATCGGTTTAACACAGAAATCAAACTCTCATTTCGTTTTGTACGTTACAATACAATAAATTGCGACCATGTGTGCTCCGACTTATTCCTCAATCTCGCGGAATAAGACACGCTGTAGAGAATATATTTGTGATCGAATACCGATAGATTCTGTGGTCGAATTAAACTAGGATTGCTGAAGCGGCATACACATAGTTGATTGAGCGAAATGTCAGCACCGTTGCACGCTTTGTAACTTCCTGTCGATTTAACGCCAGCAAAATTAATCCCGTTCGGTGATCGCGCGGTCCGAGGAAGAGGAGGAACGCGCAGCCGCGCACGTGTCTCGAACGGTTTATTTTCACAGGTTAACGCTTGTCGAAATACCGGACGTTCTCCTCCCAGTTTCGAGCTAGGAGGTCGAGCCTTGAGAATCTGCCGAGATGAATTATCGGCCGAATTGCCTTATCGCGCGTTATACGCTTATATCCGCTCCTCAGCGAGATTTCCGTGTGAGAAGACAAAGCAAATCATGAGCGCTCTCATTGTGCATCTCGAAATAAAAATGGGACATCGCTTTCTGGATCCTCGATCCTGATTCTCTCACGAGTTTCGCCTCTGCCGAGCGAATTGCAAAAATTACGAGGAAGGAAGAAGTGACAGTTACTCCATGTTACTAGGGATTGTTTATTATTAGTTCCAATGCAGTTTGTGATGTGTTGAATGTGTTGATTGTATCCGTCGTCTTTGAAAGGTGCATAATCGCGCGCGTACATGCACGGGCACCGCCCGGGGATTTCGGGACTATTCGCGTGTATATACGCGATAAACATTACGCGGGGATTACGGCGCAGCTACAAAATAGGCGAGTGCCATGCGCGTCGAAGTATCGTCTTTCGTTTACGAAAATAAAATACAGCGAGCACAACAAGTCTGCCCGTGGAGTCGAATATTATATAGTTAGACGTTATCTGGCGTGTCCCGCCGCTATTTTGACGCTCCTCCGAAGCGCTCCGAATCCGTGGTACAATTGTTTTAAATAACACATGTGGTGTCCCGGCTGCTTTCCGCACCTGTGAATTTTTCTCGGCTGAAATGATCAGAAGCGTAGGTCGTCGCAATTAAATTTTTCAGTCTTAAGCATCGTGAGACGATCCCCTTTAAAATTTTATTGGAGTTCACCTATAATTGAAATTGAAGAGTTTTATGAGGCTTTGACCCTTCACAGGCTTGTAGTTTGTGATATAGAACTCGTCGGTGTTCCAATTTTTTTCATAGCTTTTAGAATATCGAAGTCCAGGAAAAAGTCCAGTAATTCTATTGACGACACGTTCCGAGATATATTAATCATACGACTAGGCTATAATTACGGCTATAATCGCTGTATTTTATTCTCACGGAAATGTGAAAAATCCTGCGGAGATACCGCTCGATAATCGATGACGATTATTTACCAACTTGTAGCAAAACTCGTTTTTATGCGTAGTAATATGATAATGATAAATTGGGCCTGTAAATGTGTGTTTATCAAAATGCACACTCTCTAATAAAATTGACGCCTTCTTCCTGATAGAATCAAGTTTTCTCTAATTTTAGCTGTTATAAAAATTGTGTCACATTATTATTATTTGTCGCTCGATTCTGATAAAATTATGAAATGTCATGAGCGTTATTAATTACTTCTTTTAATTACGATCGAATAATCAAAGTTCAGCGATACAAAATGATATGCATCATATTTGTTACGTATAGAACATTAAATAACGGAATAACATCTTTTTTGCAGCGTGAAATTAATCGTATATTAATACGTTCGTGCTAATATGTCACGCATTAAGCGATCTTAAGTATAATTTTGAAAATTAGTTGAATGCGGCTGAGAGGAATAGGCGCACGTAATAATACTTTAATAAGGCTAAGGTTCAGATCGATCCGGTAATACGATCGTGCCGCTGTTGCGAGTTTGATGGATAGCGTAACTCAATTGCACGTGGGCGAGCGTTGCGTTTGGCAGGCTGCATGTAACCTGATGGCCGACGTTAATTGCGTCAAGAAGAACAAAAAAGAAATATAATCTTATTCAGGATAAATTCGTGACCGAAGTCAGTTTCTCCTGATTGGGAAGATTTTGAAGCATCAGCTTAGTGCGCATAAAATGCAGCATTCGAAAAGTTGGAGCGCGAGAGAACGAGCTTTTCTATCAAGCAAAAAGGTCTTGTATTATATGTATATATATCACGAGAAGATAGTTTAATTCTTGCGTGAATTTAAATTTAAATGAAGGAGCGAAACGTTAATTAAAGATCCAACATAAAAGCGAGAGATAAAATTAGGGAGGAAGAACTCGGCAGACGAGAATATCGCGATGATTTCGCTTATAATGGTTTGAAATTTAGATATTACAGAAACGTTACGTGCTTATTTTCCTGTAGTTTTAAAGATAAAATTAGAAACCAAATTGTGAAATATAATTGATCGAAGATATGGTTTACACTGACATCGTAGGAAAGGAGCTTTGGACATCTGCCTCAAGATAGTGCTATCTTTTATGGAGACTTTTGTTATGATTTTCATCGGATAAGTATAATAAACGTTAGGCAGAGACTTTGCACGCATTATGATAAACGGATATCGTTGCGTAACGCAGATGAGGCCATCTAAATTGTAATGAACGCTTTATTTATAGGCTTTTTTTGTTTTTTAACATTGCTGTTTGCACTCGGAGAGAATTTTGTATCATTACATAATCTAATACGAAACGGGAGACAAATATCATTCATTGTCGATAGATAAACTTAACTGACCTATGTTTGAAATATGCCTTTTTATGAAAAACAAAATTTATTTATTTATCTGGGTTCTTAACATCATTCTTTTAATCATTTTCGCAGAAACGTTAAGCGCGAGCGAACAAGGAGGAAAGAAACTTCTCTTAAAGAAGAAAGGAAATTAAAAATAGGATAGTGCTCTGTTATCAAATTATTTATCAGAAATACACTTCTTCTAATATGATAATAATTTCCCATTTATCCAATTGTCTTACAAGATAAATTGCGGCGCGCAGATTTCTATTGAAATTCATTATTAACAACTTAATCAACAATTAATTTGTTGTTACAAAGTGCTTTTTAAACTGTAATTGATTTTTATTCTTTTTGAACGTATCATTTGTGTATCCTTGTTCATTTTCTCAGTGGAAAATTTTATTTTCAGAAACATCCACTATCAGTAGTATGAATCAATTTAGAACTGATTACTCATTAAACTGAGATATCGCTCGTTCAAGATTCCCATTGTTTAATGTT